TAGGTGGAGGGAGCGATGTAAAATGCAAGGCGACGAGCCTTGACGTGGCGTAGTAACGAGCTGCTGCAGCTGCATAGGGTATGCATAGGTCTATGCGAACATAACTCGTGGACGGGGTGTGAAAGCGTTTGGCACGGTAAATTTTTAGAGGGTGGAATACGCATCTTGCAGACGCAACCGGATAGCACGTATCCGTCGATGGTAAGGAGTAAGGGAAGGAGGGAGGGATGGGTGAAGGAGCGCAAATATCATTGAATAACGAAAATTAGGCCGGACTTACAAGAAAGTTAAACCGGTAATTACACCTTTGCGTTGACTTGCCGTTTAACAGCGTCTTCGATTTTAGAAAGAGTAAATAAAACTCTAAATTTCTGAGAGAAAGATAAATTACTCGTGGCTCCCCTGAAAAAAGACGATGAACGTGCATTTGCGAGAAATCGGAAGTCGTTTTCTTTATCGAGCATTAACATTTTATTGGTCTTTGTTTTATTTTATAGATACCTATGATCGCACGAAGTATACGATATTTGTATGATCCTAAAACGCTATATTTCTTGTAATATTTTCTTTTGTTCATTCATATGAATGCTTCTACATCAGGTCGTTCCATGGATTATAGTAAAAGGTTATTATTGTCACAATTATGATATTAATACATTAGAATAAAACATAAAAGACAAATCCGCGCGAGAAAACGTATTACATATTATAATGACAATTGTCTTGGCAATTTAAATTGAGAATAAAAATTTCTTTTTGTTCAAGAATTAAATTAACAAGAAAGTTTAATTCTTTGCAACTCAAACAAAGTTTAATAAATAAATTATTATTATTATTTTATAAATATTTTTGTTTTATCGAAATTGATATTTGGAATCTGTCTCGATGTAGAACATCGAAGATTGAAATCCAATTTCGTCACACGCTAGAAGCATAAGAAAGTTACACAAAATCACTGGGAATGTATCTGTGATACTTCATCTGTATAAGCTTCTTTTTAATCCTTTCATGTCGACGGGAAAGCAGTTTCTTGCGTGTCGCGACCTTTCCACGATCGCTTGTAACACAGAAGTGGGAAAGTCTTGTGCGACTCTTTGTCGAGTGTGATCACCGTTGCGTGCGCGAGTCACTCGATTATCGGTAAAGTAATTAGAGAAATATAGGTATATAGATGCGGTGTAACTTCTCCCTCTCCCCTCCTTGTTGTAACACAATGCGCTGGCTTTTGTTCTATCGACAAACTCAGGATTTGGGTTACGGTGTCAGGATGCGTGGCGTGGCTGTCTCCTTTATTTGACAATCGGTCAAGGAGATAAGGAGATTTAGTTTGTATATCTTCCTGACTATAAGATTGACGCTCGTAATATATCGATTCTAAAATTTTGTTCTACGACGTTTAGTCGATTTTTTCGTAGTGTCGTATAGCATTGTACGTTTCTATTATCGGGATGGAACCAGTACGTCACAATACCAACAACCCCCTATATAGAAGCTCGGCAGTCTAATTCGCCACTGAGTAGTCCAAGATATATAAATCTTAAAAATTGCTGCAACGTGTCGTCAGAGTGCTCACCTATTCCTACTTGCAGCTACGACAGTAACTACGATTTATTTGCCGATCGAGCATCTTTCATATAAGTTTCGCACATTGCAAATGTACCTACACTTATGTCTGAAGATTTGCATTGGCAAGTGGTTTTATTTGATCTTGCCGATCGACGATAAATTTTTCTTTTTTTTTAACATAATTTCTGTCATCAATCCGTCTATAAAAAAAAATATATATCCGTGACACTTTACATATATACATACATTGACGGATTCAGAAACTTATCAAGTTTGTCAAGTCACCTGTCAATCAGATTCACAAACTTAGCCATTGGCACGAAAGTGAACATTTTTTTTTAAGTTAAATATGAAAAGAAATAGAACATTAAATTATTATTTAAATCACATTGAAAAAATATTTAAATATATATAATTCATAAAATATTTTATTTTAAATTATGTTATATTCACAAATAAAAAATAAAAAATAATAGAATAAAACGGCTTTATTTTATATTTATGTGACATAAACAAAAGTCCATAATTAAAGACTCTCGCTTGGTTTTTTCTTTTTTTATCTTTCTTTTTGAAAAGGGAATGGATGCACAAACGGGGAAAAAGATCGTACTGATTCTCTAATGAATAGAGAAACAGTTCTGTTTATCCGACTGCGGCTTGCGATATATTTAAAACGTACTGATGTCGCGTCCATTATACAGGCGATGTTTATTTCATCTCTTTATGGTTCATTAATTTCACTTGCATTTTGCGAGAGCTCTTCGCGTAATTAGTCCTCAGATGGACACAAAGAACAAAAGATGCGATTATGGTTGGACAGGTACGAAATAAACGTGACCTTAAATGTAGCTTCGTGTTTTTCAACGGACGATTGCGCTGCAATAACTGTCAACTAAAGCTTATAAATTTCATTTTTTTTTCCTCCGGTAACGTGACGTGCGTTGCGTTCAAATGGAAAGTTGATAAATAAATACTCTTACCACGCTTTTATATAAAAGCGATTGAGAGCCCATTGCAACAACAATGTAAATTTTCTTGGACAGTTTGATCCAGTAAGTGATTTGGTTTTAATGATTTGCTACTTCTTTCTTCATTATTTATTATTCTAATTATATATACAGAAAGTGTATGATATATACAGAAAGAAAAAATGAACAAAGATTTACGCCATGCCCTTTAAAAAGTATTACAAAAGTATTTTATTTAAATTTCTAGCAGTTTGTATTCTTTTCTTGAATAAATTTTATGAAACATAGAGGAAAGAATTTCTCTAATTGAAATTAAATATTGATGCACCGACATTTGATCCGAATCTTTGTAAGAATATTGTAGACAATATTGTGTCGATATCGACGACAAATCTTGCATTTTGACAGAATCGTTGGCTTAATTTTGAACGTGTGCAGGACACAGTCCTAAATTGGCTTAATGGAGTAGGAGCAAGAATAGTGTCGCAGTAATGGCGACGAGAATGACGTCGACCGTCGTCACATCGCATTTTCAGGGAGAGATTGCGACCGTTCAGTCGGAGACGCTTTCAAGGCGCGATTTACGAAATAGAAATAAGTCTAGGAGCAATCCGTTATCTTGAGGTTTGGTAGAATGGCGGAGTCCACAAATGGTGGAATTAGGATTGACAAATTTAGCTGCCGTCCTCGCGGGATGTGGCTTTCATATCAAAAATAGCCGGTAATTTTCTTAGCTTTAGTATTCAGTTGGACACTGAATACGACGCTAGACGATATTGTTAATTTTCCATCGTTTATCCTGACACTGATTATAACCATCGTTCTTCTTATACGACGTCATCAGAAGTAATTCTACACGGAATCTAATGAACTGTAAGCCTTGGACTGTCAAGCTGTTAGACTGTTAATTAAACATTAAATCTGTTTAAAAACATATTATAGAAGTGATAGAAATAGGTTACATTCTTTTTATTTTATTTTTTTTTCTTGAAATAGAATACATTCATTTAGTTTTCTTTCATCAATGATCATGCTCTTCTATAATTAATCGTACTAGGTGCTATAAAAATTATCAGTTTCCAATTTCTTAACAACTGATTCGTCGTTATTGAATCTAGAAAAAAAAAATGAAACAAAAATGTGCAAAAAAAAAATAGATTACAAAAGATACGCTTCTTCTTAATAGTTTGCTTTTTTGTTTGCAGACGAAAGCAAGATGAAGTGCAGACCCTCGAAGAAACGATACGGATGCGTTCGGAAAAACACAAAAAGGCCGGGGTTGAACTTAACGCCACATGTCACATATGCCTGAAAACCAAGTTTGCCGATGGCATCGGTCACATCTGCACCTATTGCAAAACTCGATGCTGCGCACGCTGTAGCGGAAAGGTCACTTTACGGTCAACCAAGGTAAGAGGGCATGAGAATGGAGCGAATAAACGGCGAAGAATCGTGGGACCAGATTGATCGAGTTGTTGCGAGTATCTGTCCTGACGTGCCACTTTTCTTTCCGCGTATTATATCGCCGCACTCGGCATACCGTGGAGAAACCTTTCGAAGGCCTCGGCATAAAAAGATCACACGGAAAATAAAAATAGAAAAATATCCATCGTGTTATGCATGGCGATCAAGTTGATATTAACGCATCTGATGTAAATAATGTACTCGTCTGATGTAAATAATGTACCTCGTCGAACGATACATCTCGAGGGGTACAGGATATAATAGGAATATAAATCATTTTAACAAAACAACTGAAAAAAAAAAAAAAATACGTATAGATAGAAAATGTTATTTTCGTATGCAAACAATCGTTATTCGGAGTAACATCTATAAAGTGTGGAAAATAAATTCATCAGGCCCGCACTGTTCTTAGAGTGAACTTTTCATGAATGTATAAATATACAGAGATAAAAAAAAGTATTGTCCTCTTGATTTTATCTTGAACTTTGGCGCAGTACTTTTTATTTGTCTTTTTTATTTAGTTTGTTTTCTTAGCAAGTAAGTAGATAAGTAATAGATAAGTAATAAAATCAACTCGAGTTATCGAGTTTGCATTGTTCTCACGAGCAATTTATTGATTGTTTTAATGAATAGCAAGATTTTTAAAATCACGGTCGATTAAACGTAATTATACGGATACTCATTTCCTCTCTTATTATTTTCTTTTGAAAAAATTTGACATTACTGCAATATACCTGTTCTGCAAATTATATATTCTGTTCTGCAAATTAGTTGTCGAAACATTTTTTTCGTAGAATTTCTCTTTTCCGTAAAATTTCTGTTCTTTTCACAGAACCTCGATAGCATAAACGGTAAGTCCCTCGTTTCCGTCACAGAAGTATCGTAATTACCTCATTATGGGCGCATGTATTGTACTTCGCGACGGCGGAGATAATGCAAGGAGATAACGCGTGATTTGACGGTAGGAGAGGAGCAAGAAAGGAAAGGATAAATTTAACAACGTTATCAAATCACGACGAACCGAGAGGGAAACACCAGACGGCAGTAATATGAGGGTCGGTAAATGTGTAAATTAGCCGCTTGGAAACGATTAAGAGCAGACGCATTGTAAAAGATAACAATCGATACGTATCGTCCGGGGATATTTACCGGAATACATCAAAACAGTTGATCTATAGTGTCACGTCATCATCTTCATATCGGTACATCAATTAACCTTTATCGCGTATAGCCATGATATCCGTGGGCGTAATATCGTCATTAAAGAGCCATCACGCGGATACTTTGTCTCTTAATTTACGTCGGGGAGTATTGTTTTCTGTTTCTGTTCGCTTCTATACTCGCGTAATTTCGATTTTCCGGTTTTTATCCACGGAAATGAAGGATTAACGACCAGTGCGGTGGAACATAGCATGCAGCCTCAGAGAGTACGGTGAATGCCGGCGGGTGCACTTTTAAAACTTCGCAATTATCCACGCCACCACATTCCGGGATCCGCAGAGATTTTCGCAAACAGAGAGACTAACGTTTGTCGAATTTGCACCGGTATACCGTTCTAACGCGATTATCTTGCGCAAATATTATTCTTATCTCCACATCGGGCTGGTTACGTTCCGTCCTCGCGCGGTATTACAATATCGATTTACCATATTCGAATCGTAGCCTTTCCGCCGTAATCCTTGTGCTAATAAATACATAAAAGTCGCATACGGAGAAAGATTTTATAGGTTGTCGCGCGCAATGTAACTATTAACCGTATTACTATTTATTATCGTGTCACAGCGCAAGAATGTGCGATATGTTGCCATTTAAGTACGCCGTTGGAAGTTCTATGGGTACTTATAGGCTAGGTATATAAGAGAAGCAGCTATAATATATATATATATATGCAACTTATGCGCGTATACGAATATAAATATAGAGATTTAAATAAATAGAAATATAATATTAGATTTCTCCCTTATTATTTTTAGCTTGGAACCGATTTTATCGATTACCGTGTCTTCTGGCTTTATTTAATGACCCAGTTTCGTGACAGATAAATTGCGGATTTAATATAGTAATAATTACCGAAAGGAAATCTAGAGATTATTTCTGGGTACGCGCGCAAATTACATCATTCGCACGGCCGCTGTGTGTGATATTTCGCGCAGGACACCTCTTTACTGCGAACATGTAATAGCTTTTATCTTTCGCGAGAGCGTCACTGCATCTTTCATCTCTTTCAGCGCCAGGGAGACAGAGAGCTCCATTTTCCGGATTATTAAAAGTAATCCGGGCGCTGATCAATGACGCGAGCGAGCGAGCGAGCGCGCCCGCGTAAAATTTAACGGCGCTCGGGCACGGAATGTCGGAAACGCGCATAAACGTAGTGAAACATGGGGGGAAGGAGGGAGGGTAGGTGGGGTGTTTTGTAGTAAATCCTCTCGCCACCCTCTCGCCGTCGCGGGTTGCACACGTGCGCGCACGCTATGCACGCACGCCTCCGTCATGGCCGCACGCAAGTACAATGACAAACGTCATCATGAGCGTCGTTACATCATCGATCCGCGCTCGCGAAACCATGAGGGAGGAAGACGGAGGATGGCGGAGAAAGGGGGTTCTTTCTTCGTTCTAAATGAGCTCTCTTACCCCGTAACACGTCGCGTCGCGTCGCATCCCGTCTCATCGCGTCGCGTTGCGTCGCGTAGCGTCGCGTCACGTCACGTCGCGTCGCACAGTCGCAGTCGGATCGTTTAATTGCGTCCCGTTGCGAAAACAACGAAATTACAGAGCTATCAAAATGTCTCGCTCGAAAGGAATCAATACCGACCGCTCGATTATAACCCATCGGAATCGTGTGTCCCGATATGTCTGTGCGTTGTCGACGTCGCCGTCGTCAGCAGTTTTTCTTTCCTTCTGTCTCGTTCTTTTTTCCTCGTTCTCACAGTCTGGACGCTGCGTGGGAGCCTATGAATGGGGCGCGTCCCTGCGTGACGTCACTCGCCGCGCTGGTTCACGGAGGGAGTGTCGGGGTTGGTTGGAGTGCGGGGACGTTGGAGGAGTGGGTGGCCGGGCGGACGGTGAGACGTTGGGCGATCTGCGAGGGAGGGTGGGACGAGAGGGAGGGGGAGGGGGTACATGACGCAACATATTGATCTAAGTTTGGTAGAGAGGGTGCGTGGTAGAGGAGCACACGGAGGAGGGTAGTGTATAAAGGGAGTGGAAGGAAAGGCGGAATAAAATATACGCTATCCGTCAAATCTACGCTCTTCTGGGATTCCTCGATGCGCACAATTTTGTTTAAAGATTGTTTGTTGTTCTCCCGAGTTGCAGCGGCATCAGGAAGAATATATAGTTCGACGTTCTGATGCCGCGGCTACCGGTGGATGTCGAAGATAACAATTGCTTAGGGAGTCGGTAAGAAAATGGGGAAAGAAAACGAAAAAGGGAATAACAAGATTTGGAACATTACGAACAATCGTTACGAACGATCTACAGTGGCAATCGCGACTTGGAGATTGTCATCGAATTGCTAGACAGAAACAATGTCTGTTGGAGAGCTGTGTTGGAGTACTGGATTATTTCTTGAAATAAATTCTTCGAAACGAAATCGAGGAGCCTTGTTATTGCTTATGGGATTTATTTATAGAAGATTAGATCTTATTCATGAAACGCGCTGCAATATAAATTCTAACCATGTACTACAAGCGTACTTAATATGTTATACGTTATTTTATACGCTATTTTTATCATTGCTTTATTTTTACAACTAAATTAATTTTACAATTATTTTTACAACTGAATTAATTTTTTAGAAAACAATAATTCGAGCTCGAATCTCGACTGAAGTAATATTTTTTTCAATTAATAAAATTATTTACATGTTTAAGATGCTTATCAGCTTCAGATTATTAAGGTCTTTCTAAGATGTTTACGAGTATATCAATATTATTAAATTGCTTCTCAATTTAATTTGTGATATTACTATTCTAGTTTTGTTAGAATTGCGTCTCAAGACTGAAAATTAAATTTGACGCACAGTTTACAAAATTATGTGAATTTATAAATTTCCACTAAATTATTTAAGTACTCGAGATTCAGTTTGATCGTTTAAGGCTTTTATTTATTATTTGTTGTATTCACATTATGGTCTTAAAAAATACTTTGTTTAATACAGATGATCTTATCAATGATCTTTTACCGGCCGTAATCTGTAAGCATTGACGATTATTCCCCTCTTATTCGACTGTAATTGGTCAATTCTTACAGATAACGATATAAGTTAACAGATTACGGCCAGTATAAACGCTCCTGAAGTGTCTCGTGGATATAGTAAAGGGTAAAAGCATTTCTGAATAAAGTCTGGTTTACGATGTAATACTTAAATGGCGACTGATATACGTGGAAAGCGACGTCATAATAAAAATGTCGATGGTTAGAATACGCGACGTTTACGACCCATTCCGCGACCATTTTGTTTATCTATGCTTCGAGTTACAGCTCCTCCGCTGGAAATCAACTATATCGATATACATCCGATGATACATCTCGCGATTGAAACACGCATTCGCAGCACGAAATCAGTAGACCGAATACTTTATTATCGCGCAAGTACAGACAGTAATATAGCGAGAAATCGCCCCTGGGAGATTTTGCGTTGTTCACCGGGAAGATTCGAGGTAGTTTGGGTGATATACGAGAACGCGCAGATGCAACGAGAACACGTGTAACGTTAAAATACCCGTCGACTTCTCCGCTTCGTTCTCCACAATCTGTATTATTGATTGCGGGCCATTCTCTAATTCCGATCGTCTCTATTTTTCATATCGCAGAATCGCGTAAAATCGTGTGCTTTTGCACGGTCCTTTTCCTTCCTCGTTTTTCTATGCCGACGTCCATGATAATGTGACTTAGAGAATTGTTTCTTTTTTTTATTAAAATAATTATATATTTCTATTTCCTCA